GTTCGACGCGGCGCGCCGCGGCCTGGTGGCGGCGCCGTGCGGCGTGCTGCTGCCGTCCGTCTGTGAGACACCGGTGCGCGGCTGTCGCATCCAGTACGCCGCCGACGTCGCTGGCACCGGCTGCCGCCTCGACTGGGACGGCTGTGGCACTGACAGCTTCAACGGTAGGCCGAGGCGAGGTCCGCCCTGCCAGGCGCCGTTGTGTCCGGTCCTCTGCCCTGCCGGCACGACGCAGCTCGGCCTCGCCTGCTGGCACGTACACGAGCACGAGATGACCTACGCGGAGGCATGGACGTACTGTCAGAGCAAGGGCATGATAGCCGCCGCGGTGCTCAACCGCGAGGAAAACGCATTTGTGCATCGGCAGGCGGCGCGGCTCGGCCGGCCTTTCTGGGTGGTGGTGCTTCGCGGGCGGTTCACCAACTTCCACCGCTACGGGGCATACGGGCTTCCGGACGAACCCAACGAGTCTCCGAACGCCTGCGCCATCGTCTGGTTCGATGGCGAGTGGATGGATGTCGGGTGCGACCAACGTTTCCCTGTCATCTGCAAGCGCCCCATTCGCAGGAAACATTGTGCGGCTGCTGTAGAGTCTGCAAAGTCTTCCGACTGAACTGCCACTAGTAGAGCCGTCAAAATGTGCGAACCTCGGCACGCGATATTCATTATCAGCTATGATTCCACATTCAGGCCAGTGCTCGTTTTTTATCTAGACGATGATAATCACGCTGGGCTATTTATCGATTTTGATGTGCATACCAATCTTTATTACGTCTGCGTTAGACTATCAAGATGTAACCTTAACGGAAGCTTAAGATAACAATATGATTAGCACTTAGCTTCACAACTCCTGAGACGTTCACCGCTCTTTACGCAAAGTTTAGGTAGTTGATACCCGGGGCTCTTGCTCCCTGATGGGTGCTTGTCATCGACTTTTCGTCGATTGCATAAAACCGCTTTGACGCCATATATGGTATGCGGTGGTGACAGTTTGAAATAAACCTGGAGTTTCAGACATCAGTCTGTTTGTAATATTTCTCTCATCACTTACTGACGCGAGGATCTGGCACCAAATATCCGCGTGCTTGGCCTCAGAAGATCAGGAATGACAAATAAGCTACCTCTAAAATCGTTTAACGTTAATGGATTTGAGCCTGTTTTACTTTACTCACTTTATTTTATGGAAAACAACAGGACAAATTCATAGTCGAGATGCATCTGAGCAATACCTGATCAATCTTAGCAGCACACCCGCGACTTGGTGATTGTTTCCTGTTGAACACAAACCCATGGCGGTCAAAATGTGGAATACTTTACGAAGTTGTTTGACAGTAATGCTTATTCACCAAGGCCTAGGTGACATCATCAGTCTGCAAAACCAAGCAGACTACATGAAGGAATACCAGCCTCCAATGTCTGCCACAGGTACGTCGGAAATCTCGTGCTGTCGGGTTGGCCAGTGAGCCTAATCAGTGAGTCTGGGCGTGGAGTAGCTGAGCGAAGCACGCATGCTAGTAGCAAAACGTGCGTAAAACTGATTCGGTACAATAATTAGGGATGGAAAGGACACGGAGTCATCGTAGGCCAGTGATACCACAAGCTTCTTTCACGATTTGATTTCCCGCATGCTACAGTGGCGATACGAGCAGGGATTTTTCAAGGTGTTTCGGCACGAATCGCGGGCCACTCGAGGCAAATATACCTTCCACAGGTGTTTGGCTATACCCGTCCGATGTTTGACCAAAATAAATGCTAACGGTCTATTACAGCAAGACTGATCACATTTAGGTGGCATGTAATGCACGTGAAGCCCCAAAAGAGTATCTAGGAACAATAAGGAGAGTTTGGCTGCCTGTTTGTCCACATAACTTGCGTGAAACGATTTATGGAAAATATTGTATCGCAATCGCATCGTCTTCTGAACGTTCGCAATGACATGACGGTAACACAAATCGTGTACATAAATTGCAAAATTGTATGTGCGCGGGCGATGCCAGGTAGGTAGAGTGGTGGAGCCGTAACGGGTTGTCTTTGGTTGTAATCTTGAGTCGACGGCTTTTAATCTTGAGTTCACGTTGAGCAGCACAGATATGGTTTCCTTCTTGGCTGAGAGCTGGCACCAGGTACATCGATGATCTAATGTCTCACATACGCATCTAGATATGGATATGAGCAAGGATCATGCCAGGCAATATGCATGAGAGGCGACTGATTCGATACCAACGTTTCAGGCTGTTGCAGTGTCTGTGCTTTGCCTGGTCTGCCTATTTCCCCTACAGCATCATGTATGCATCCAACAAAACAAAGCAGAGATGGAGCACAAAAAGAGGGGGACACGCAGTGCGTCTTTGCAGGTCCATAGGATCCACTAGCACAAAATGCTTGGTCAAGAGGATTTCAGCTATATGAAAAATCCCATTACTCTCTTTAGAGCTCCTACATACATTGCTGGCAAAAGCAAGCCGGTCTTTTTGTTCTAGTAATCTTTCTGACCCTTAAACAATTTAATCAACGATTTAAACCCTCCCTGCGTCAAATGAATGAGACCGAAAAAACTTCCTCGTGTCTTATCCTTCGCCTGGTTAAATCTGCCAACAGCACATCAAAGCCGGTTATTTTGTCATGAGAAAATCGGACCCAATTCAGTATGTGTAATCGCCTCCAGGAAACGTAAGCAGCTTAGACATAAAAGTGCAAGATTACGTAACGTCTATTCATTCATGCATGCTCCTTTTTTCCTCACTAGTGTGTAGCCGACTATAAGCAGTGTGCAATGCTCCACCTGGGCACATTTTTAATTTATCTGAATGTAGTTCGACTATAGTGATCGGATACATTTCTAGAACGAGAGCCCGCATTAAGCAGATTTTGCTGTGTGAACCCTGGCATCATACCTTGAAGTCCCAGCTTAGCTGCGGAATTTTGCGGCGAAAGTTGTATACAATATTGCCGTCATACTCGGGACGGTCTACCCAGGCTCTGTTTTTATCTGGCCTGGAGCGACCGCCGCTCCACAAGCCGCAGGCCATCCCAGACAGAGGCAAATAACCAGCACGTGATGCAGTAACAATCAACAACGTGCTGGCTTCATTGTGTATCAAACATGCCATCTAGATCCGTTAAGCACGTGGCTTTACAAGATTTGTTTTATCCTACTTTTTCCTTCTTTGAGCTAACCATTTAACACGTTTTGGAGACTTCTACACGGCTTGGTGGTCAGCGGTCATTAGGTGATTATGGGATCAAATGATGTCACTACTTAAAGACTTCAAGCGAATCGTTTAATACGATATTTTTGCAACCAAGAATTTTCAGCGTCCAAATCTCCGACTATAATCCGCGCATCAGCAATGTTCATAACAGTATCCTTAAAATCGTATTAAATGCAAGCACGGTACTCATCGATATAACGCAGAGCACATCCATCATCAGATGGACAGACAGTAGCCCAACAATGCATTCCTCCCGCGCCCCATACACAAAGCCACCCTGACATCTCATGCTCCACAGACCTGCTAATGCTCAACCTGTGGAGGCCAATCGGCAGTAAGCTGCACGAGGGCGACATGCTGCTGTCATCGGCGCAGAAGAAGCGGTACTCGCTGCAGCCGGACACATCCTCCTCGGCACCGCTTGTCGCCAACCCGTGGCCGAGCAACACGGTCAAGTACAAGATCGGCACACCGGGTCCGAGCAAGGAGCTGGTGGAGCACGCCATGGCGCGCTGGTCAGGCGGCACCTGCGTCAAGTTTAAGGAGGACAAGTCCGGCACACTGGAAATCAAGTACGGAGAGGGCTGCTACGCCCAGCTGGGCTATACGGGCTCCCATCAAGTGCTGGTGCTGGCGAAGGACTGTGAGAGCGAACCGGTGTTGGTCCACCTGCTGGGGCACGTGTTGGGCCTGCCGCACGCGCACTCTCGACCCGACCGTGACAAGTATCTGTACGTGCGCGCGCACAACGGCCTCGTCGACGACTTCATGTACCTCAACACCAAGGACTACGCTGCGTGCCCGTTCAACTACCAGTCCATCATGATGTACGACACGTACGGGCTGTCGCGCAGCGGCGAGGCCGTCTTCCTCTCGTCCTTCCAGACGGACAAGGGGCTCATGATGTCCAGCGGCATCGGCATCCAGGACGCGTTTGTGCCGGACGCTGATCTGGCGTTCGCCAAGCACGTGCTCGGCTGCAGCAAGGGCAAGGCGTCGTGCGCGGCACCACCACCGGAGCCGGAGCCCTGCGATGTGGACGTGACCACCGACAACAGCCGTTTCCAGAAGAACGCGCTCAGCTTCAACCGCATGGATCGCAGTCGGCCGAACAACTGTGTCTGGCGCGTCGAGTACACCGGCAAGGAGAAGTGCGTGCGCGTCGGCTTCCTCATCCTCTTCGAGATGACACCCGACCCGGAGCGCCTGCTCTTCCTCTTCTCCACCGGCTGCCGCTATTTCCAGGTGGAGGTCTTCGACCCCGTGTTCGAGGCGAGTCACTTCTACTGCGGCGCCGACTTTGTGCGCAAGCCGGACAAGGCGTTCATGTCGGGTGGAGTGCACCCCGTGCGCGGCACCAGCAAGGCGCTGTACGCCTTCGCGCGGTTCCGCGCCACCACCGGCCCGGTCACCTGGCAGTACAAGGAGGCTACCGGTGACCTCGGCAAGACGGGCAAGGTATACGCCTTCACCATGGAGGACGTGTACTGCTCGGACAAGATTTCGCCCGTCGCGCCGTGCTTCTAGCGCCGCGGTAGAGGCGGCATGTGGGAGGGAAGCGGCCGCCGTGCCGGGGCTTGAGCCCTGATTGGGCATCTCCCGCGTCGCCTGCGGCCCACCGGCGACGGAAAACGCCTTCTTCGAAAAAATGCATGAATCCTGCTTTGACGAAATTATCGATCTCACTGGATAGCGCTCCGTGATCCTCAAAAGCTAATATAGGTATGCATGTCCGTATATATTTCGTCTTATATGTGTCCATGGTTAAAGTTTTAACTGAGCAGAACGTGTCGCGCACATATTTGGTATCAGCCTGCTCAATTCACAACCCAAAAATTTGGTATGCCTGAGTCCCGCGCGGGGTAGATATCAGGACTAAATTATCCGCAATATCAGAACAAGGGCTGAAGCTTATAGAAGATGTCACTCTCGTTAAAATGCCCTAGCATGTCGGAACAGCTTTGAAAAGCCGCATTTTGAATGTGGGAAGCGAATACGCCTTAGTGGTACTTTAGTATGGCAGGTATTTATGGTAGATTGAGGATGGAGAGATTCCCCGAAGTGATAACACCGAGGGCGAGATGAAAACTTTGAAACAGTTTTTTAGCTGTTCGGGTTCGTTGGACATGAATGTGTCTATTTTCAACACTCGATTTTCCCAGCCGGATCCATAACATAAATATATTTGCTATCACAGTCGCGGTAAATGTCAATCCCACTAAAAATATGAAGAGCCTATAAGTCTCACGCCTGTCAATAATCCTCCTCCCAGGATTCTGATGCAGGCCGCGCAACGCTGCGCTGAACTCGCAGCCGCACCGCACACAATGCATCAAATAGTGTCAACTTGCGGTAATTAGTTGGAGCACTCAATATGCGGTGGTACTTCGAATGAGCAATGCTCCTGTCCATTCTAACGCCACTTGACCCGTCCACTGTTGACCGATCGGACAGTGACGGCGGCTTTCCCAAGCAGTCCGGCACGTCACGGACGGCCAGTAGGCTGGGCCACACCCCGAGGTAAATCCGATCCATTGTACTAGAATGCCGGTATAAAAGAGACTTCAGATCCCACAGAGACACACTATATCTGCAGAGCTCGCTTCAGCAGCATGATTTCTGCCAAGGTGAGCAGATCAAATAAAGGGCTTAGGTGTGCTGACTGCTTTTGCCTGGTTTGGTGAGCAGCTGTTTGATGGGATATATACTGTGATCGTGTGAGTCTTTTCAGTCCGATAGATGAGTGTGTGAAAATTTCGATTTGTTCAATACAAACATCACCGTGCCGGCCTCCGTTAAATGTGGATAGCCGGCTGAGAAAGGATAGCTCTGTGTTGGTCACAAGACTGCAGGTGTTAAACATCGAGTCCGGACACAGACCCGTGTCTTCAGCACACAGATCAGTGTCTTCAAGACACGGAGCGTCCTTCTCTGGACACAGATCCGTGTCATCCGGACATCGTGGTGGCAGCGATGGACTTCTGGGTGACTACAACGCTCCCATTGTGTCCTCAGGCTTTAGCACACCCAGTGTGTCATCAGGTTACAACGCTCCCAGTGTTTCATCAGGGTATAGTGCGCCTAGCATGTCCTCTGCATGCAATGCTCCCAGTGTTGCGTTAGGGTATGGTGCACCTGGCGTGTCTTCTGAATATAAGGCTCCGAGTGTTTCGTCTCAATATGGTGCGCCTGGCGCACCCTCTGGGCATTGTGCTCCCAATGTTGCGTCAGGGTATGGTGTGCCTAGCGTGTCCTCTGGATATAGTGCTCCCAGTATTTCCTCTGGGTATGGTGCGCTTCCGGTGTCCTCTGCATATAATGCTCCCAGTGTTTCATCCGGTTATGACGATTATAGTGCGTCATCTGGCTATAACACGCCGAGCGTGTCCTCCGTCTTCAGCGTCCCTACTTATAGTATCGTCTGGCTATAGCGCCCCCAGCGTTTCCCCGTTCTATAGCACCCCTAGTGTGCCTTCTGGTCATGGCGAGCCCAGCGTATCCACGAGCTACGGTGCTGGAAGTGTGTCAACTGTAGGCTCTTCTGGCAGGGTCAGTACGTCAGTTTCGTCGTATGGTGCTCCCTCATCTGCAGGCTATAGCGGCTTGTGTTTTTGATCACTGAAGCTTGTAGTAATTGCTGTGATTATGCTGTGCACTTGCCCCACGCGTCAAAAACCCACCGCAAAAACCGCAATATATGTCATCAGCTGATAACTCTCGGGCTGATGGCAGACACAGCCGTGAGAAAACGTATCCGGGATTGTCAAGTTAAGCATTCTGCCGTGATAAGAGCACGGTATCCTTGTCAAGAACAAATCAACGGTGGCCAAGATTTTAAGTGCATCATCTCAAATTTCCACTGGAGCTTGTTAGTTGTTATGAATTCCAAAAGCTCAAAATAATCCCCCTTCTTGTCATTGCACATTCCGAACAACGCTAACTTCTCGCTGCCACTTATCAGTGCCAGTGCAATGTTTCTGGGTCAGGATACCATTCAGTGGCCATTGGCACCTTAATTTTTGCTTAAAGGGTGTTGTCCACAATTTTATGCGGGTGCATTATTTTCCAATGTGGAACATTCTCTTTAATGTGCGGTCCTGACATTTCTCAAGGCAAGGGTTTCAAGAAACGCATAGCATCGTCACTTTGTCTCACCTTGTTCGCGGTAATAAATGGTTGGTTGTCAGCCGTTCTGATAAACATGCGTCAGGTGGTTATCAACCCAAATACTTGATACGTGGTGTTTTTATCAGCACTGCTGTTGTAATTTCAACATTTGTTGGCTCGCCCACTGCTGACCGATTGGATGGGGGTTGCTTTCTCGAGCGCCCCACCACGTCACGAACCGCCAATAAGCTGGACCACACCCCGAGGTAAATCCAACCCATTATACTGAACTACTGGTATAAAAGCGACCTCAGATCCCATAGAGACACATTACCTCTGCAGAGCTGGCTTCAGCAGCATGATTCTGGCCAAGGTGAGTTGATCACAAAAGAGGGCTTATGTTTGCTGACTGGTTTTCCCTCGTTTGTTCAGCTACCGCTTGTTTGGATGCTTTTTGTTGTCGTGTAGTCTTTTATTGAGTCCGATAGTTGCTCAGGTGTAAATTGAGTTTTTTTTTGCAATAGAAACATCACAGCACCAGCCTTCCATTAAGTAACGATAGCCGGCTGAACCAGAACACTTTGTTGTTCACAGGACTGCATATGTTAAACATCATGCCTTACAAGTATGTGTGGGGCACTACTCAAGAATCAAAATTGCTATCATAGTTGGAAGCTTACTACGTTTTTTTTGCAAACTATTCGTGGGTGTGGACACAAACGTGAATGTGATTAACAACATACGCATAATGCTCAGTATCTTCACGAACCATGTCGATTTCGCAGATCATCGCGACGTTGGCTTCTGCTGGCCGGACTCTGACTAATGATAGCGGTCACGGGACAGGACACAGGTCCGTGCCTCTCGTAGACAGATCGCGGTCTTCCAGACACGGAGCCTCCTTCTCTGGCATACGCAGCATACAAGAGAATGCCAAAAGGCATGCTTGAGAATATTTGAAAGCTCAGTCTACTTGCACGGAGACGTTCGGGAACATAACGACGCGGCGAATAAACCTGGTGTGTCAGACAGAAAGAGGAGAAAAGTTGAAGGAAACACACATCTGGTCAGTGGGTTTATGCGCTTTTTTCAAAGCACGCTAGAAAACGTCTTGCAGGTGGCAGCAGTGTGCGCGTGATTCGTGGCTCCATGTTAGATGCAAAGTGGAGTGCTTTCCGTTTGAGTGTCAGTAATATCGATGGCAAAGCATGGGCAAATTTTGCTCACGGCATGCTCGTACGCTTTCACCATGGAGGACGTGTACTTTTCGGACAGGATCTCGCCCGCGGCACTATGCCCCTAGCGCCGCTGTGGAAGCGGCGTGTCGGAGGGGAGTAGCCGCAGGGTCGAGGATTGAGCTACGGTCGGGGGCATCTCACGTCCGCAGCGGCACACTGGCAACGAAAAACGTTATTTTCGAAAAATACAAGAGGTCGCCTTTGGATGAAGTTCTCGGTGGTGTTAGGGAGCGTGCTGGATGCTTTTGGAACCAAGTTAGGTATGTTGTCATCAGCTTATACTTGCCAAAGTTAGAGTTCTTACTGAGAAGGACGTGCCTCACTTTTGGCACAGGTGTGCTGTCATGCTATGAAATTACTGTTTTCTCCTGCTCCTGCCAGGCTACAATGTGTAGTACCTTCATGGTACGCATCCGGTTACATCCGTACACAGCGGATGCACGTTATTGCAGACATTCCGTAAAAGGCCTGGAGCATGCCAAAGCATTTTTGAAATGGAGGGGTAAGAATAGGTGACGTGGTGCTTTAGTATGGCAGCGTTTTAGTCCCCAGCGTTACAACAGATGGTGGTGCACCAAGGCTACCAGATATGCTTCCTTTGTTCGGCTTCGTTAGGCCCAGTTTGATTTTGAAGATAAATATGCACTTTCTTAAAAACGTCCAAAGTTTTCTGATGGCCATGTCATCTTCCAGCTGGTTTTTAACAAGCGGTTTTGTGGCAAAGTTTCCGGAACAAGTTTTTAGTCGAAAGTAACAGTGCTCACTCAAAGGAAATATGGCAGACAAGTTCTACGCGTAGTGGTGAGGAAATTCCAAACAAAAGAATTACGAATATGCCTTGCTCTGAAGGAAAACTGAGCCATGAAGGATGGACTTGAGTAAACTGGCAATGCGATCCGAATTGGATACCGCGGATCTAGATCCGTATCGTACTGTTTCATCTTTATCTGAGCAGCTAAGCTGTACTTCCGGCCTTTTACATACCAGGCCCCAAGGGGGGGGGGGGGGCACGGCCCCTCCCTATTTACGTGCCTGACCAGGCATGTGGTTAGAAAGGATCATGCGACTCCCTGGCCAACGTGACATTTGGACCCCCTGGTTCGACTGGGCAGCAGATGAAAAGTTATTGATCTGCACGAGCCGTAGATGGAGGCATCAAATATACTTAAAAGCCGACGATTCTAAATGAGCTATGTTCCTCACGCAAGACCCAGTCTAATAGTCATCCCGTACATAATAGCTTACGCGTCGTTTTAAAAGAAGGCTAAGCGCAAAGCAGTGCACGCCATACCACACCGCGCCGAAAACCAAGTAAATAGTGCGCAACGGATCACAGAAGGGCGCTGCACGCGAAGCAGGCTGCATGCAGCCATGATACCCCTGCCGCCGCCGAACCCGCCGCGTCATCAGTCAGGTGACGCACGTCCACCATGGACCATATGGCGTGACAGGTGTGGCCGCGGGTACACCAGTTTTCCTCGAAATTTGCGTGCCTGTAGCTATCGCACTGAAAGATGATTTAACTGGCAGCTTTGTCACAAGTTTCCAGATTTTTGTCCGCCGATGTCGCTGACTAATCCCCTGGAATCGGGCGCTGGTATTTTGAGACAGCCTGATCCAGCGGCCTAGCGCGGCGCGTTCGTAACTAGACTTGTGATACAGAGGCGCCGCGCAAGACAGGCGACCGGCCAGTATTCGATTCCTCGAATACTGGCCGGCCACGTGCAACACTGGCCCAGACGCGTGCAATACTGGCCGACCACGTGTAACACTGGCCCAGACACGTGTAAATTCGTGTAAACACATGCTGATCTCGGGCGAAGTAGCGCCTCGCCTGGCTTGCGAGGCACGCCCCTCCGGCAGCGCCTGCTCTGGGCTGGGCTAGACTGCGCCTACCTCACAGGCAGCCAGCCCCCCCCCCCCCCCCCGCTGGTAGCAAGTAGCTGGCAAACGTCTCCGACACCGCCGGCGTGGTCGTACCCGGAACCGGCCGAGGACATCGGTCATCCCGTTCTCAGCGAGCGCCGTCCGAGCGGCGCGCAGGGCCGGGCGCAGGCCGCGTGTGCCGCGTGGCAGTTTGCCGGGAAACGTAGCGAAGGGCGGCTACGCAGGCAACTGACAACAGCGGCGAACAAAAGCGGCGCACATCCTGTCACAGAAATCGGAGTGGTTCACTCCTTGGCCTTGCAGCACTACAACACAGATATCAGCCTTTCAATGAAATTCTTTGTATTTAACTTCATAATTTTGTAGTTCACTACATAGGCGTGGTACTTAGCACAATGCGCGCGAGTACTACACAATTTCTAATGTTTCGCGCATTTCATGAACACCACTATATGGCGCAGATGAAGCATAACTCCGATGGCAATGACAGCCGTGTTGTACCAAAAAGGCCGATGTTTTGAACAATGTACGTAAGCACAATGGCATGCGTTTGAGTTCACCTTACCACGACACATGGCAGGTACGGTACACGGCGCTCGTCGTCGACAGACCCCTGTAGCCAGCGTGAGGCACGGGTGGTGCTTCAG